ACTTCTTGTCAGCTGTACCCTCCCGTGAATCTTCTCCTGTTCCTGACTGCTCCTCCACCATCTGATAAATTAACAGCAATAGGATTTACTGGCCGATTTATAGGAAGCACAAGAAGGCAGCATTAGCAGCAAAGCTGCAGAAAGCTGTACTTGATGAAGCTGTTCTTTGTGCCCAGTTTACCCCGTGCCTCACTGGAAAGCAGCTACACCCTGGTCTAAGAGCCTATATATAAATCATTGCTGAACTCAGGCAATGCTTTCAAGCACAGGGTGGCAATTGCTTTTGCACAGCCTGGCTTCTTTGCCCATTGCTGGAGATACCCATTAGCCCCCTCCGACTGCACCAGCCACGTCCATCATCCCATGGATAGGTGCTTTTGTGGTCCTAGCAGTGAAATTGAGCCATTTTTCCTGACAAGCATTAAGAGATTAAACGCCTGGTGTTAAGAGCTCTCCCACTTCATTTGCTAATGTTAAAGCAAAGACCCAAAGACGTGTTATCCCTGCCCACAACTCCTCCCAGGCTGGGCTTCAGCTTGTCCCAGAGCACCAATTCAAGTTCACAGGAGCAAATGACTCCCTTTTGCACTCTCATGGCCACCCACACATCCCTTTTTCTTGTCTGTGGCTTGAGATGCATTAGAGCAGCTGCACCTTGACCAGTTTACATATAGTGCTCCAGCCCTGCAAACACTGTTCCCTTTTGCTTCCTCCACGTCTCCCTCGGTTAAAATAAATCCATTTGATTAAGAGGAATCAAAAGCACCACTGCTGCCTATCAACAGCAGGTGGAAAATGTCCAAGGTTTTTAAAATTCATCAAAATATTTTTTTAAATTATCAGACGTTTCAATTGTCTTGAGACGCAGATCCAGACTTTGACAGCATTTACCACCATCCTCCATTTCTAGGAGAATTCAGCACCCGTGCTCCATTAAACTCAGTTAAAAGGGATAATTAGCTAGAGACTGACAGTAATTTAGCCAGTTCATTTATCAGAAGGGATAAAGCCAGCCTAAGACACATTAATGTGAGGGTCTTAAAACTGGTATTATTCTGTGCTGTTGTGCTACAAACATATCACTAGCAGAAGAGACGCAGACCACGGTGTTAATTGGGATTTCTGGGGTGTAAATAGTGTTTTGCTTCATAAATTCTGGCTAGGGCGAACAAATTATTTAGCTCTCATACATCAGCTGAATTAAGACCTCAAATGTATAAAAGGGTGAATCTAAGAATCGATAGTGGATCACCGAAGCATTTAATCACTGTTTTACTAATCTCCCTGCACTATCTGAACTCCAGCTGACTCCTCTCACTAAAATCAATGGTGCTAATACACTCATTAACAACAGCTCTTTCGGAGGAATGAAACCATCGGAGTTTGAAAAACTAACTGGGGGCAGAGGAGCCGAAAGCTGTGAACAGCCCATGGGCACATGCTCCAAGGCTTCCTGGGGGAGCAAGAAACTCTCTAAAAATTCTCTTGCAGGAATTTCCACTGCAATCTTCCACCGAGAGTAAGCGGCCGTGACTACACGTGTAACAGCACATCCCTGAGAGGGGACACCTGATGCAGGGACTGACCCCGCGGATCGGCAGCCACGGCTCCTCTCCGAGGTGAGGCTGGAAGAGCTGGCTTTGACGCTCAGCGCTGCCCACACCGGGGATTTCTGCATCTGCAAAGCGTCTTTGTTTCCCAGTTCTGGTTCTGCTACCTCGCATCGCTCTGTATCTCGTGCAGCAGACGTTTCCTATCAGTTTGGGGGCTACACAAGACCTTTTGGGGCAGCTGTTGCCTCTGCATCCCACATTGCCTCTTATTTATACTCTTCACCAGCAGCTGGAGAGTTTGCCGCATCCTCCTGCCAAGCTTCCCTGCGTGCCTATCGCAGCTCTGACCTGCACATCTGACACTGCAGTCCCGAGACTCATTTCTCCTAAGTCTGTCAGTTTGGTTGTGATAGCTTCTGCTTGGCATCTACAGGCTCCAGACAGTCTCTCCCCAAAGGATTCTCTGAAAGACATCGAATTTCTGACCGGGGTTTTGTCAGGCTGCCTGGAAAAGGATGTTGCTCAAAACTACTCAAAGATAGCATTTTCTTATTTTTTATGTAATTATTGAACAAATATCAGAATGCAAAATTTCCCCTGGGATTGGAAAATGGAATTAAATCTTCCAACAAACACAAGAAAATGGATACTGACGTCTCTATTAGCAACAAAATGTTTCATGCTTAGAAACTGGTAATGTAACACCCCTCCAGGGAACACGGAATGGTGAGAAAAAAAGGTCCAAGACAGCATTAGAAAGAACAAGAGATATACATACATTTAAGTGAGACACACACTGGACATGGGGTGGGCAGTAGGGCATCCCTGTGTCAGCCCCACCTCAGTGCGTTCACAGGCTGCCCAGGAGGTCATTACCGGAAAGCAAAGACCTAGATCCTCTGCGGCTCTCAGCCATGCTGAGCCCGGCATAATCAGGCACAGGAGGTCCACCCGACATAGGTGCATCCTCCAAGCCACTGGTGTGGCCACTAAGTGGTACTGACCCCTGCAAGCAGCGAGAAGGGCAGAGCCGGGACGCACGGCGTGACTGAGCTGCTTCTGCAAGCGCCAAGCTCCAGTCTGCCTTGGAGGGCTCATGGATAGCGTGGTTCAGACCAGCTTTGACGGGACTGGTTTACACCAGCTGGGAAAATTGGTGGTACAGCACCACATATGACACAATGATGAAACACCTTCATTGCACCTGAGCAATACAAGAATTGTCCCAACGCACAGGGGAACATCTTTGTTAGGGGCATGGTTTAGTGGTGGACTTGGTAATGTTGGGTTAGTGGTTGGACTCGATGACCTTAAGGGTCTTTTCCAACCTAAATGATTCTATGATGTCCAGCACGCTGCTTTCCTACAGGACACAGAATTTTCCATGGACTCCCTTCTCAAGCTTACAACCCTGGGAAACAATCGACTCCCGGTGCAACAGCCCAAGAGCAGAAAACAGCGTCATCAACCAAGTCACATCATGCAGTCCAGAAGGAGGAGCACCATTTGGCATGGGGCAAAGTATGGGTGTGTAACCACACCTGAGGGCTGTTCTGATTCAGCAAAAGGGAAACATTGGCACTGGAAGTTTGGTGTGTCCCCCCAGCTTTGTTTTGTTGTAGCAACAACCTGGTCATCCTAAGGAAGAACCACCTGGCCAAAGCTCCCCTTTGACTTCTGTGATTCTGTGACTTTACTGTCCGGAAGAATCAACAGACGACATCCCAGTTGTACAGGACATTTGCACGGCTCCTATGCTGTATTATAATGATGGTACAATCCTCAAAGACAATATACAACCTAAAAGCACTCATACACAACCTACAAGATGCCCATCAGCCTGCCTTCCCTTCCCCTCCTCCTCCCAAGAGCACCGTTCATTTCAAATTGCTTACCCCGTTCTCTTCTATTCTGTACTTCACAGCTTTTGAACTTCAAAGAGAGGGGAGAAAACCCTATCGCTTCACCACGCAGTTAAATATTATGCAGCCGCGTTACTGAAGAACACCTACAAAACACACTGATAAACTCCCGTTTGAACTCTTCCTATAAGATTTATCAGAGAGCTCAGAACAGGCTGCCCTTCTTCCCACACAGCACTGAAGCACCTACTTCACCTTAACCAGGTACATGCTCCTCTTGGAGTTGAAAGGACTAATCATATGCTTAAAATTATGCATTTGCCTGAAGTACCTAGCTGAATCCAGGCTTTTATACCTAGAAGTTTCACAGTGTAAATTGAAAACATTATTCCTGGGTGAACATTATACACACGTTGGCAGTTATATTCCAGAATCATCTAACAAATCAAACTATTTATTGTCGATAGAACATGTCCAACTCCAGCAGACCACTTTGAAAATCTAAAATAAAAATGTGCACCATGTACTGGATGTGAATATGGATACCCCACACACACACTACGTGCATGCCTCACGTATACAAAATAGCAGAGCAGAAATGCTCTAAACGTAAACTGAGAATTATAAGATCAGATTTTAATTGTGGTTTTAATAACACCAAACTGCTGGAGCTACCTGTTTATTATTAGTCTTGAAAAGCAGCATGAAAATAATATTTTAACCTTTCAACTGTAATATGCCCTTTGCTAATAAAATTATCCCAGAGTCATCCAAGCACATAGCTGGTGTCAACTACTTAATATGCAGAATAAATTAAATGCTACTTACACATAGCAAAGAAATACCCAGCTAATTCCATGCACTTTCATGTCAGCCCTTACACTGGCGCAGCCACACAATGAACACAGTTGAGCTCTGTGTCTCCTTTTCAAATCCTGCCCTTCTGCAAGAAAATCACCTGATGCACTGCTCCACTAAACCACCCCTTTGCAAGGCCACCGGCACTCTGCCCATCATGCTGGGAGTGCTGAAATGAGCTCTGTCACAAGCGCTGGGTGTTTGCAATTGCAAAACATTGTGCATTTATTCTACTGCAAGGAGACCAGGTCCCACCGACGGCACTTGAAATATTGTGGTAAGACAGTAACAGAGATTTGGGAAGAGTGGGGGACCTGGCACACTTATCTACCATTGACCAAACCATGCTAATAATCCTACTTAATCTTTCCAAAGAAAGAGTCACCTTGATGAGACAAACACCCTTCTCTCCATTTCAAGCCACCTTCATGCCTCCCACTCTCAGAAATGCACTCACTGGTACTTTATCTGACTCACTTTTGGTGAACAGCCCATGGAAGTCAACAGAAAGACTCCTGATAACTGATTTATTTCCATCAGGCATTAAAATTCCCAATATTTCCAATCAAATACAGGGAATGCCAGGAGAAATCTTTTCCAAAACACCACACTTTGTCCTCCTATTTAGTCACGTACAAGCAAAAATCGATATAAAGACAATATAAACAGAGACAAAAAAAACCAGAAGGTGCTAGACATCAAAAAACTTATCTGTGTCTTTTGGTACCTGCAGAATAAGGCTCCTGCTTCTCGCTGTGAATGAACTCTTTTCGTTCGTATTTGGCTCTGATCCACTGCTCCCGCAGCAGTCTGGAAAAAAAAAATACAGAGAAAAGGAAACATGGTCCAAGATACATGAAAGAAGAATCCAGAATCATTAATTCCTCAATCAAAACACAAGTGTGACTTAACCGTCTTCCAAAAATTGTATTGTACAGTCTGGAGTCAAGGATTTCTTTTGTTTACTGTTGGACAACAATAAATCATTCCCTTGTACATCCAATTTTATCGGAAACTTATTCAATAAAATTTACAGATTCAGCAGAACAGCCCGTCCACACCCACCCAATCAGCCTCTCCAGGGAATTCTCTCGGTATATGAACGATTTAAAACGTAATTTCTTCACATAACATTCTGCAATAAATGGGATCGTAATTTCCTCATATAACATTCTTCAATAAATGGGATCGGTAAATTAAAAACCAACAAACTGCATACAAAAGAAAAACCTTTGACCTGAAGCTACTGACATAAAGGCAGAAACTGGGTCTGCCTTGTGCGATGCATGTACGTGATGGCCTTTCAGCAGTCAAAGCTGCAGAGATATTGTCTCCTCGTCATGCATGGACAGCTTTTCAAAGAAATTGTGATGTGCCATGTTAAAATTACACTTCTAATGATGAGGCTAAGCCCAGCCCAAGGATGGGCGACACTTGTGGCTCCGTGAACACGGAGTTTGCTGCAGGGTGTCACACACCTCCCAAACTAAGAACAACAAGAATTCAAGTGAGAGGTGACCTCTTCAAAATGAAAGGGACACAGGACAGTCACATCCCAGGGCCAGCCGACCTCTTGGAAGGAACCGGGCCGTGAAAAATGGAAAAACCTCAAAAAGACCAGGAGAACATGGCTGGGTGCAGATGCAAGAGCTGAGCCCTGTGGAACACAGGGCCCAGACACCGGAGGGTGGTGAGAACCCACCTGGCAGAGCTCTTCCAAACTCTCAGCCTGTACTGCCAAGTCTAAGACAGGAATCAACGATGCAAGACAGGAAACATGCCTATCACAGAGCTCTTTACTTTTCATCTTGCAAATAATACAAACGATTTATACACGAAGACCCTAACTTCCAAAAAGGAAAACATACCCCAAAGATTATAAACACTTTTTTGTTCTTTTGTTTCAGCATGAGCGCTGGATCTAATGAAGCAGTTTAGATCTAGAATATGCTAGGAATTGCTTCGAACCATTTTTAACTGCATTTAGTTCTTAGTTGCCCTAGAAACTTAAATAGCCCAAGCAGGCGGAAATCACACGCAGAAATGAAGGCATGTGTCACCCCAGCTTACCAGAGGACATTTCAAAGTGGCCAACACTAACGACAGTAAAAGGTCCCCCAGCATTGGGCATGCTCTGTAAAACCCATCACACTTCAACACAACAACTTCGCCAGTGAAAACTGTCGACATGCTTCATTAACTTTTCTTTTTTGCTGACTATGCAAATTTAATGCTATCTTTTCAGCAGACACATTCCACAAATGCTCAAAGAAGATAAGCGCACTAACATCGCTTATGAAAATTCATCTGCAGGTACAGCAAACACATTCATCAAATCTGTAAGACACCGTTCAATGAAAACTGTGGCTGTAATCGGTTTCCCGGCAGCAAAGAAGGAAACAATTACATATATTTTGTCCCACCCATTGTTTCAGCTCCTTGGTTGGGGCACCAGCCTTCTCCCACATGGCGCAGGGAGCACCATAGCTTCCCTGCACCCAAAACTCAACTGTTAGCTTCTGCTGTAACAGAAATAATGCACCAACACTGCCTTTCCCCCTTCTGTTCCTGTTTTCATGACTGATCTTTAGTTGTCACACACACATCTGCAAGTTTGACTATGAACTCTGAAGACGAACACCCATCTCCCTTCTGCTGTAACCCCGTGCTATGCTCTGGTTTGGGTACAACCCATCTTCAGTTCATCTCTGGAGGTTCAGATGGGTTTTGCAAAGTGTGCAAGGGGGCTCTTCTGGGTTGAGCAGGATGTTCTTTCTGGATCTGATATCCACAACACGGTAGCCTGCAAACGCAGAAGACTGATAACCCAAAAGGTAGCACTTCATTGCCTGTTTCTGTACTTCTGCTGCTTATCAACAAAACTATCAAAATTTAATCATAAAATCAACACAAATACTTAAATTTGTCAGCCTTCTTGCACTTCTTCCAGCCCGGTTGCTACAGACAGCTTGTTATCACTGTAGCCAAACTTGGACCTTTTCAACAAGACGATTAGGGATTTAACTAGAAGGAAGCAAATTCACACCACCTTCGGCTCCAACTGACTTCAGTGGATTCAGCAGGCTTTTTTAAGTCAGCCTTCCAGTACGAACGTTTAAATACAGTATAAATTAAGGTTCATGTCCAGCAGTGGGAAAATACTCTTGCTGTATAATGCAGATAGTACAACAGATACACTCTGCTGGTCTCCTGCCTTAGGGAACACCACTCTGCAGTGACTTATTTCCCGTGACGCTGTCAACAGCGGTGGTTCAGTATCTCCACTGCAAAAAAGCGCAAATTGGGCAGCTGTGAGGCACCTCGCCCAAAGGGGTATCCCAAGAAGCTGCAGAATGCTCTCAATAACCTCTCCCAGTATTTGGGCCAGAGCATGAGTGGCTCGATTGGCAACTCCAAAAGCAGACAGGGCTCCAGCCGTGCCACCTTCTCAGCTCACAGCAAGCACTTCCCAACAGCTCACATGTTCTTCCCCGTTCCTCATCATCACAAACCCCAGCTCTTTCAGCAATAATTTCCCAAAAACCAAGATAAACCAAGAGCAGCCCAAAGTTAGGACAACTCAGTGCAAGGCCAATAGCTGCAGCTTCTGCTGTAATGGTTACTTCTAGAAAGCAGAACAACTCTAGCAAAAGAAACTGAAACACAAACCCAACAAGGGCGGTGAGGAGTCCAGCATCTCCCGTCAGTGCAACAGAGAAGTTGCGCAGGGACTTGACCACGCTCACTCTCGTGGACTGGAGGCAATCCTGCCATTCAAAGCTGCTTTTGCATCTAGTGTAAAACCCTAGTTTCACTGGCATATCTTGGATGAATTGAAACAGGAACAGGAATTTGTCCTGGCATCTCTGGGATCTGAGAGCAATTGGAGGACAGGGCCCATCCAGAGGTCCCTCAGGCCACACATCCTCTTCACCATTTTCAGTGGACTCCAGGCCTGATCTCCATTTCATTTTAAGTATACCTTCAGGGGCCTTTTAAACATCTGTTGCTGTGTTTTAGTTGAAATGTATTTTCCTAAGGTGAATATGTAAATAACCCGGGGTGGACATCACAGGCCTAATACAGGACCCTCCACCCAAACCCCTCTTTGACAGCAGTCCTGTGAACAGAAAGGACTGCGGCAATAGCATTACGGTGTTTTATTGCCTTTCTGGTGAGGGGATAATAAACATTGTTTGTGTTTGTTAGAAAAATATAACTGCATCATTCCTAAACTGCGGAGATGCACAGCTTTTGGGATCAACTCCAAGAGGTTTAACAGCCCACCTAAAGTCTGGCAGGCTGCGGGTTACAGGGAATGCGTCATTTTTTTTGGCAATGAGAACAGAAAGGTCTTTGTAATTATCAATACAAAAACCTGGGAACAAAAGAAAAAAAAAAAAACCAACCAAAAACTAAAACCCTAAGGAAAAAACACATTTCCAACAGAATGAGGGAAAAATCGAGCCCCGGATGAAACAGGACTGGGCTGCACTGGGGAGGCAGCAGGTACAAAGGCTGACAAAGCACCGCCAACACCAAGAGCTCCAAATCTTATTTTAGGTGTTTGCCTGCCTGGCCACCCACGTGAAAACAAGCACTCTCTGTCAAAGGGCCAGCAAGGAAGATTTCAGAAGAAGCCAGTAGAGGAGCTTTATCTTGGTCCCACACACTCAAGGCCTTTTGCTCGCAGCAAAAAACACCACGGGAAAAGCTGTACAAGCAGTTTAATATCAAGCCGTGGTTGCGTGGCTTCATTGCGCTCCATGGAGGAGGGCTAGCCAGCCAATTTTATCGTCTCCAAGTCCCTCAGCTGGGCTGGCTCTCCTAGGGTACACTGTGGTACACACACCACAGACGCTGCAAGGCTGCTGTGGGTTTTTGGAGCCATACAACGGCCAAGAAGCCCCAGCCAGAGGTGAAAGTGGCCCAAAAGACATCAACCACCAAGCACCACCACCCTCTGATTGTATCCTTGTGAGCCACCATCAATGGCAAGAAAGACAAAGGAAATGAATGGCATCCAGGAACGTCATTTCCAAAACCCAAATTTGTAGCTTCTGGAATTTGTCAGAGGTTTTTCCTGCAAAAAACAATCTGTTTTCCACAGGCAGCTCTGGGGATGCAGCTATGCCAAGTTTCTGTGAAACAACTGTTTTAATGAAATTTTAAGTCCAAGTCCAAATTTTTGCTCAAGCTGCAAGGCGAGCCACTGCAGCATAGACTAAAAACCCATCTAGCTTCACACCCTGCCTCCACACTTTTCCTATCTGGTAAGTCCTCGCTGTGGGGACTTGCTTTTAAATTGCTTTGTGGAGGCATGAGACAGCTGGGGGGCTTCTTCCAGGCGCTCTGTGCCTCACCCCGGCTCGCAGAGCCCTGGAAGCGATGTGCCATCCACCCCCACAAGACCAGTGGCCAACAGCAAGCTTCTGGAGGAAAGCAAAAAGACAGAGTTTTTGGCTATCAAAGCATAAAAAAATTTGTATTATGGATTTGAAGAAGCTAAAGCTGAATTTGAGTACGCAAAATCATAACACACTCAATTAAAATGCTAACTGGTTCCTTTTTTGTTTGGTTGCTTTACATGCATGGTCCAGTTCATCACAATGCTATTTTTCAGAATGGTTAAACACAGATTAAAAACATGTAGGAAACAGCCTGTGTCAGTGCTATCTCAATCTTCAAGCAATTTCCGTTGGAAATTAAAGGAATCTATATGAATTAACAGGCTTACAAGCCAACAACAAAGAGAAAACCAATGATAGGCGGAAAAGACCCCACGGCCGGTTGGGACCGAAGGAGAGGGC